CCGCCGCCGCCTGGCGCCTCTGCTAAGGGGCCGCCGGCGCGCAAGCTGCTCTTTATGTGCACCTTGTCCCTGTCGGTCACCTACCTGTGCTACAGCCTCCTGGGCGGCTCGGGCTCCCTGCAGTTCCCGCTGGCGCTGCAGGAGCCGCCGGGCGCCAACGCCGCGCCCCAGCCCAGCCCGCTGCCGCCTTCCCTGCCGCCTCCCCCCGTGCGCCCCGGCGCCCCCTCGCCGCCTCCGGACAACGCCAGCCTCGGGGAGCCACCCGCGCCCCCGGAGCAGCCCACCGTGCCCGGGGCCGACGGCTGGGGGCTGGCGAGCGGCGGCGGCGGCGGCGGTTCCTCCCGGGACGCCTGGCTCCGGACCCCGCTGGCGCCGGGCGAGATGATCACTGCGCAGGGCGCGCTGCTGGAGAGGGAAGCGCAGGAGTCCAGCACCACGGACGAGGAGCTGGCAGGCCGGAGGGCGGCCAACTGGAGCAGCGAGAGGGGCGGCGCCGCCAGCACCCCAGACTACGGGGAGAAGAAGCTGCCACAGGCGCTGATCATCGGGGTCAAGAAAGGGGGGACCCGCGCGCTGCTGGAGGCCATCCGCGTGCACCCGGACGTGCGGGCGGTGGGCGTAGAGCCGCACTTCTTCGACAGGAACTATGAGAAGGGGCTGGAGTGGTACAGGTAAGACCCTGGGCTGGCCGGGATGGGGCTGAGGAGTGTGTGTGTTTGTGTGTGTGGCATTCGGTGGAGGGAGAAGCCACCAGCGTTTGGAGATCCAGGCAGGTCTGTGAGATCACTCAGTCCCAAGAGGTCTCTCTGGAACCTGATGGAGCTGTTCAAGGGGAGTAGTTGGAACGACTGGATGCCATTACTAGCTAAGAATCACTTGATTTCAGATCTGAGGCAAGGAGTGTCCATCTGTCTGTCCAGACTCCTCTTGCAAAGATGTTCTCATTTTTTTGGCCTGATTTCCCACCTCCAAACCGGGGAGTCTCTAGCCCTTGTGTCCTCCATGTATCCCCCCACAACGGCTCTGGCCCCCTCCCCACGGCTCTGGGGTGCTGCCTTTGGGATGTAACTGAGGAATGAACCCAGGGTCGCTAGACTGACTAAGGAGCTTTGAGATTCCCCCGGAGTCTCTCAAAGTCGTCCCCTAAACGCAGCAGTGTGGCTGGAATCCAACTTTTATTATCATCGAGTGGGAGGGAAAAAAAATGATTAGGGAACGATTCAAAACGCGATGCTTGAGAGTTTGAGCTTTCTAGTAAAGGCTGAGGGGCGATTCCCACCTCCCCGTTTTCTTGTCCTCCTCCACCGAGTGCCCACCGAGATGGTCTTGCCACAGGGGCATCGGTTTCTGCATGGCCGTTGGTGCCCTAAGAGTTTTGATGCCTTGCACCTGTACCCTTTCTTCCCTGTACTTCCTTTGCAACAGATGGGAGTCAGTGTCTGGTGAGGTGTTTATTTCTTTCCTACCATTGACTGATGGTGAGAGGAGGAGAGAAGAGAGGACTTGAAATTTAAATGCAGATAAAATTAACAACCTAGCTTTCTTGCCAGTCAGAGGACCCAGAACAGCACTACGATGTGGTGAAGATGTCCAAACTCCAGAACTCCTGCCCTTGTCTTTTTCTGTTTTCCATTGCTTGGGAAACAGATCTGGATGGATGGCTCTGTTATCAGTTGTATTTCAGTAATTAATTGCAATTGTCAAGCAGAAACACAGAGTTTGTCACTTACAGTGATGGTATCATCTTAACAGAACCAATAGGTAAATAAGGATTGCTCCCTGACAGGCTGCCTTCTTGTTCAAGAGCTGTGCTTTCTAAGTTTAAATTATAGCCTGAGCAAGTTTTAGAAAGAACTTCAGAAGTGTATAATGAGTGTGTGTATTTTGATTGATTTCTTCCACTTTTAAAAATATGCCTTATGCTTTAAAAGCTTGAGAGGAGTACACTTCGGCATAAACATTCCAGCACATTACATGGAAACAGCAAATGTGTCTGTTAATGCCTTGTCTGTTTCAACAGCCAGAACTAATTGCAATATTTTAAGAGGCTTCAAACAGCACCTTCTTATCAAAACATAAAACAGCAAATGCCTAATTTAACTGGAAAATCAGTATTTAGAACATCATAAGCCATGGCTTCCAGTTTGCGTTTATAATTAAAAAGGTGTTAGGATGATTAATGCAAGACAGCAAAATAAAGAAAGGGTATGATGTCTGGGAAGGTTTCAGTTGTTTAATTGTTGATTGGAAGAATGTTCTGGCTTCTTCTGTGTGTGGGGTAGCCTCTGATTTATAAAGGTGCCTGTGGCTTTTCCCAGTTCTAATTTTAAAGCTGTGTGTTTGAGGAGAAGTGTCAGAGGCTCTTTGAGGAAGAGGGACACATATATAAGGCTCGTTGCAGTATGTGTTTGGGTTGCTTTGTAACAGCTGTAAATAATGAAGAGGATGCTTTATTTGTCTCATCACTTTATTTAAGGACTTACAGTTGGTGGAGGCAGGGCGGAGTTCATGTCAGGAAACCTAGTTGTCAGGTTTGGGAATATTTCTGACTGAAAGGGTAGAACGTGCCAGATTTCCCCTTGAACTTCTACACTGAGACCTGGAAGGAAAGGTATGTAAATTACTTTGCTGTCAGTGTGTGACCTCTGAAGAGATCTTTCTAGCACTGTGACATTCTTTGTCTGTAGTTTCCAGCAAGCGGTTGTCTTAATTGGGCCCCAGTGCCAATTATTTGGTAGCCACTCAGAGAATGCGAAGCTGAAGGGCTATGGTTCTGGGCTGTCAGTCTACCACTCTAATGTATTGTACTTGTACCAACCAACCAACCAGTCATCATGGAGTCATTGACCGTATTGTGACAACCTCAAAGTGGAACTGTGTGCTTCCCAGTGGCTGGGGGCTGCTTGCTGGGGGAGTAGATTGCCAGGCCTTTCTTCAGTGATGCCTTTGGGTGGACTGGGACCTCTGACCTTTGATTTAGTGGGAGAGTTGCTGAACCACTTACAACCTGTTGCTTATGGCAGGTCCTTATAAAAACTCCGTTGGTGCTGATTAGAAGTGCTGGAGAAGAAACTCTCTTAAGAACCAGAAGCTCCCTGCATCTGTCTTACGGTGGATGCCGGACTGTTGGGGATTCTCTCAGAAGGTCCTTGCATTCAGAGTATGCCGGGACTGGCTTGGAACAGCATTCTAGTCTTAATGTGGATGTCAAGCCTTTGAGGGGCAGCTGTGACGTCTCCATTAGCTCCATCAGTTTGGGTTTTTACTTCCCTCCCAGGTGAGATAAAGGCATGGTGTTCTTGGTATTCTTCCTCTTTTGTAGAAAAGGAAACAGAAACACAGATTCAAAGTGGTGACAGCAGCCCTTTCCTCTTGGCTCCTGGCCCCACTCGGAACCTTTTCGGTGGTAGCCTCTATACGCTCTCCCCTCAGACCCCTCACAGCTAACCTGACATCTCATTCCACTATTGACCTAATTAAAGATCTGTAGGTTAATGAAAGATTTTAATATTTTTTTCCCCTCATGTGCTTGTTATTGTTTATTTTCAGTGTGTTTCAATAGCCTATTAATTTGGGCAAGTGTTTCTGATTCTAGTGTTTTCAGCAAAAGAGAGAGCAGGGAGAAATCAGAGTTGCCTTGTGCTTACTTTCTCTTCAACAAAACAGACCTCACGTTTTCATTTTCTTGGTGCCCCCCACCCTGAGGTTCCAAACCAGACCCACTGCCTTCCATTGACTCCAGTTCCTAGTGACCAGCAGGGCAGAGTGCAGCGTCCTCATAAGGGCCACATCTGTCTCTCTCAAAGCTGATGGTGGCTTTGATCTAATGACCTCTTGGGTAGCAACCAAGCTATTTAACCACCACAACCACTAGGACTCCTTTGATGACATGCCAGTTATCTCTGAATCCAGCCTTTGTTTTGCTCCTGTTCTGTTGACTTAAAGTGCTTTAAAATCACATTTAAGGTTAGCCCATGTACATCAGCTCAGGGATTAGGGTGTATGCTTAAAGCTATAGAGAAGCCTCACTCTGTGCTTTGGCACAGGGCAATGATTAATACGTGAGAGTTGAATAAACCTCTTTCCTTCCTAACTCAATAAAGAACAAAGTCCTAACATAGCTTTCCTTATTTCCCAAGTCACTGAGAGGGCTTCAAGGCTTCTGAGGGAGGAGACCTTTTGGCAGGGGAACTGATCACCCTTGTAGATCCCATCAAAGTGACAGTGACCATTTCACCTGTGTCCTCCCACTTGAGGCCCTGCCTTATACTGCCCAGTAGCTGGGACAACTTTACTTTGGAAACCACTCAGCCCGAAGGACAATGGGCTTTGACTCACCATAGCTTGAGGTTACTGTCTCTGTCAACAGTTAGAACACACATCCTTTTGGCTTGAAGAAAACTCAGGAAAATGGTTGCAACAGTAAACTGGTTCCTGCTGTCCAGAGGAAATGGGTCAGCAGCATTAGCTGCATATGGAATCTGGAAAGAGGAAGGAGGAAGAAGGAGAAGTCTTATCTTTTATGGAACTGCCTATTCTTATGGGAATTGGCACTTGCTAGATATATTATCACTTTGGAGTGTCATGGTCAGTCCTTGGTCTAAATAGCAACATTCTCATCTTATAGGGAGTCATCCTTGATTTGCCCAAGATCACTTGACTAGTGGCTCATCCAAGATTGGAATCCACATTTATCCAGTTTCAAAGTTGTGATTTCTTCTATGATATCAAATGACTACTCAGCAAAACCTTAAGCTCAGTGCCATCAAGCTGGAACTGACTCCTAGCTGACCCTCCAGTGAGTTTTCAGAAGCCATAAACCATGTGGGTGGAGATTGTCATCTTTCTTCCAGCAGCTGGTGAATTCAAACCACCTCTCTTTGGGTTGACAGACAACTTCTTATCCTCTAGCACACCAGAGCTTCCTTTGCTGCCCACAAATCCTAACTATAACATCTAATCCATGCATTCATCAAGTAATAAATAATGTGTGTCCACAGCAAATACTTAAATGTTTCCATTTTGGGTGCTGGGGATAAAGTATTGAATAGACAGATGAAACATTTGTTTTACAAGAATTGACATTTTAGTAGAAAAGAAAGGGAGATAGAAAACATAAAAAGAAAAAAATTAGGAATGAAAAGTCTGGTTGTCATAAAGACAATAAAGAATACGACAGTGAGTACTAGCCCTGTTAGTCCAGATCTCTTTGTCCAGTAGCCACTTTTCACTGATGACTTTCTCATTTGAAATATGCTGTTGAGTATATACTACACACCAGACTGTGAAAACTTGGTTTAAAAAACACCCTAGAATGTGACATTGCTCAGTAGTAATTTGTGTATTGATGATATCTTGAAATGTTAACATTTGTAGTGTTGTTACATGCATTTGAGTCTGAACCCACTCATAGTTCACCATCTAGCTGGTTTTAAGAGGCTGTAAATAACACAAGAGATTACCCATCTTTCTCCCAAGGAGTAATTGAATAAAAGTACTAAAATTAAGTGTAACAGGTTCTTTGAACTTTACTTAATGTGGCTACTTGAAAATGGGAAATTGTAACTGGTTCACACATTGTTATTGTTGTACCTGGTGCATACATTGTTATTGTTGTATTTGGTGTACGCATTGTTACTGTTGTAGCTGGTGAACACAATGTTACTGTTGT